CATGTGATTATCATCATACTCCTGGAAAACAATGATTTAGGTGCTGGAGAAGACACAGATTCTTCGTACAGACTCGCGAGCCGACTCCCGGGCGTCACCAGTTCCTCTACACTACCTGTTGTATGAGTTCTCTAAAAGATGTAAAAATAATGAAGATAATATTAAGCTAATAGAATACACGTAGAATTAAGTGAGTGATATCACAATGGTTTAACATTACAATGAAACCAGCAAAAGTTAGCACACCACAGAAACTAAGACTACTGTATTTATTGAATTATTTTTTTTTTTTAATTATTTTTGTTATTACTTAATATTATTATAATAGCCATATAATGAAATATAAAATATAAAGTATCATAATTACTGGTTTTACCATATACTGTAAAACCATTTACCATTTTCACTGGCATTTAATTTCATTATTTTAATTTTTTGAGAAATTTCACTGGCTTTTATATTCACAAACTTGGCAGGAAAACAATTCTATTTTGCATGTTCACATGGATTCAATTTAGCAAATTTTTATTATTGGCGAAAATCACAAAATTAAAAACCAGTGAATAATTAATATGTTCACAGTATTATGAGAAGCACAGACACTTTAGATATTAGCAATTAACTTGTAATCTACACATAAATGTATATAAACACATTTATTCACTTACATTGTGCTTTTATTAGATTTAAGCTTCTAATGTGAACATAGGATATATGTAATTGTTATTTGTCTTATTATTAATATTATCAATAATACCATAGAGCCAAACATAATAGATTTATCAACATATTATTATTATCCATACCAACTGGATTAATGATTTCAAAGAAAACATGACTTCTAATTAAATAGATAAATCCTTTGAACTTTACTTGTAGGCAACATGCTGAAATGTTACTTTTAGCAGAGATAAATTCCAGATTTTATGGAAAAAAAATTATCAAGACCTGTCAAGAACTAATGATTAAAAAAGAAATTGTATAAAAATACTAAAAAATGCACAAAATTTTGGCAGGAAAAAATATGGTGCTCAAAGGGTAGCACAGTGGTGGTAGGAAATACACCAAGAGGGAAGGATTAGAAATCTTTTGTTTTTATACACTTGGTTGTGACACCAAGAGTGAAACAATAAAAATCTTTTGTTTTTCTACTTTGGATTTTAACCCCAAGAGAGAAAATTTGTGATCTTTTGTTTTTATACACTTGGTTGTGACACCAAAAATGAAACTTTTGAGATCTTTTGTTTTTTTATACACTGGTTTAACACTAAGAGGGAAACTTTATTTTTATACACTTGGTTGTGACACCAAAAATGAAACTTATGAGATCTTTTGTTTTTTTTATACACTGGTTTAAAACTAAGAGGGAAACTTTAGAAATCTTTTGTTTTTATATACCGTTAAAGTCCTAATATAAACCGCATATGTAATAGTAACCGCACCCCCAATTCCGGCTTCGGGGTTAAAGAGTTCTTAACAAAAATTGAAAACTTGAAAAGTACCTATTACTAACCGCACCCCCAATTCAACAAGACCGTGACTGACTTCATTGTTTCAACCAGCTGTTCCAAAACAGCATTGTTCCTAATCCTATTCATTATTTATTGTTCAGCGGTGATAAGATGTCAGACAGGCAATGAAACTGCCTTTGTT